CATAGAAATTGACTTGCCCGAAGATGAAACTACCAAATTCCGCCAATCTAGGGAAGCCCATTGGATTGAGACATTGAATACAGCAAGACCTATAGGACTAAATATTCACCATAATGTAGACATAGCACCCTTTGTTGTCCCGTTCAATACAGCCAGCAATCGAGCAAGCAAGATAGTTCATGCCCACTATAAGAGCCTTCAAGAGAAATTCCCCTATGTCTATAAACAGAAAATGATAGTTGCATATTCAAAAAATAAGAACTTAAATGATAATATTGTTCTTAGTAATCTAAAAACAATCAGTACATAACAGACACTATACTTCTTATTTTTTCTAATTTCAGATCAGAATAAGAACAGAAGAAAACCCAATATCAAGACCCTTAATCTCCTTAATGTAGGAGAATCAAACCCTTCCTTCCCCGAAACCTATTATTGGATTTAATTCATGGCAAATTGCGGAAGTATATAAAATCCCTAAAATATCTCGGATTCAGTAACAAAAATCCTTGTCTGACCCAACTACGTTTCAATATCTAGGCAAAAGGTAAGTCTGTTCACTGGTCGCCGGCTGAATTAATCAAGTTTGAAGGCACGAGTTACAGGTTGCAGGAAATCGCACCTCTTTAGATGAACTGGCCGAGTCTTGTGGGCACGAATAGCACCCCATTTTTCATCTTTGTTTACTTACTTTTTTAAAGAACAAATGAGTCTGATTTAAAAATCTTCTTTAAAGACTTCCACTCGTCATTTTATAATATTTCAAACTTTTTCCCTAGGTATATACCTGATTTTAAATATTCTAAAATCTCTCAAACGTATTTAATCATATATACATAATATATTTAAATGGGACAGGGCATTTTATTATGTATTCATAACTTTTTGCTCTTGAGAAACACTCCAGGTTAAAAATATAACAAAAATGTAACACTTTTTTTGGATTAATAACCCATGATTTGATATTCTCATCACTTTAAAATGTACGTATTTGATATATTACCCCTTTGTATGACATTGATTTAGATAAATGTGTATAAACTTTGTTTGCCCATTTTAATAGTTCTTCCGGCACCACCTATATAAATCTAATGTATATCGGTTCACGACACTGCAATGATTCAAGATAAAAGTACAACAGAAGTACAGTACATTTGATTAAAAATTATAGAAAATATGTGATCATTAATGTCTATATCAGGAAATTCGTGTCATCATTGTCCATTTTTCAAAAGTGAATCGTCCAACTATTTGTTTACCATTTGATAGAGCGAGTCATTTGTAGATGATCTCAGAAAGAAAGTCTTACAGTAAATTCGTTTACATATCATTGTTCAAGAATAAGATTGTAAACAAAGCCAATAAAATCTTCGTAAGATGTTTCATTGGTAGTCCAATTGGTAGTCACTATACAGTATTTAATGCATAAGTCAGCATAAGTAAGTGTAAGAATTATCCTCTATAATCTGTAAAGCTAGGGACGCATTAATAGTATCACTTGACATATCATTGTTCCAGCCTACTCTTTATCAAATTTCAATTGAAAATTGCAAAATGCACACGGGACTGGAATTCAAATCGTAACAAGCATTATCTTTTGTGTGGCCTAATTTTTAAAAAGGAAGTGGACAAAATGGGTAAAGGACACACCATTTGTAAACGAAAATAAGATACAAGCGAATGGCATCGAATAATTCATAATACATCAGAATTCGTTTCTATTATCGTCTGAAAACATATCATTATTCCTGCATGAATATCGATCCCAATTTGTTTATGGGACGTGCATGAGAAATATATTGTATGTATACAAAAAAGCCCGGATTTGGACTATTCTTGGTATGTTTATGTATAATTTTGAGAACATCGTTTTCGATGAACGATTTTTGCGTGGCAAATCTATTGTTTTCGTTATGTTTATTTTTTATTTTTTATTTTTTGTTTTTTTTTTTTAGGAACGTCCCTAGCCAAAATCGAAAATGGTATAGCATAATTGTCTTCACAAAACATTTTTAAATGACCTGGAATCAAAAATGAATATCTAAAACTCAATTTTTGCTAAACCGGAAGTGTGCCATTGCATAATGTGCAAATATTTTGCATCAAGTCTGTAGGGCTTATTTATGAACTGATTTACCTGAAAGTTTCTTTAATATGTTCATTGTTATAAGACGTATCTGGTGAGGCTAAAAAATTCAATTTTTAAATATTATTATTTTTAAATATAAATTGAATCCAAAATTTTCAAAAAAGCTCAAAATTTTTAACGCAGTCTCTAATTATCCGATTGATCTGAAATTTGCGTGAGAACTTCCGTTTTTGTTAAAATCACGCCTGGCACCCCCACTTCCGGTGTAAATTTCAGATGTTGGGAAAAACCATATATATTGTCTGTCAGTCATAATTAGAATGCACTTAGCAGAAAAAATCCAAACCGGAAGTGATGCATAAGCAGTCGCCTCGGACTGACCCATTTTAGCAAAAATTAATTAGTCCTCCATTTTTTATCCGATTTTTATGATTTTGGTGTCTATTAAATCCTTGTAACCTTGTCTACAGTTTGTTGGAATAGAATTTTGAATTTCGAATTTGAATTTTTTTTATATTCGTTTGAATTTTTTGAACATTTCACTGTAGGATGTTCTTGACCTCAGCTATCCACAGGTGTATTCATTTTGGTTGAAAAATATTAACTTCCGGTTTAATAGCCATTCAAAAATTAACATTTTTGACAACTTTGGACGGCTGTATGACCTTTTCTAATAAACACTGTAATTCCTTTTTGATTATCTTTTCAATGATATATGACAATAATCCATTAAAATATGTTTTAAAAACATTGGGGTTTTTTTTCGACTGAGGGTTCTAACTTACAATGTAATTAACTCTTAGCAATATGGTTTGTATATTCAATTTTTTTTTCAATTTTCACTTACAATAATTTAACATACACTCATATAGAGTAGTGAATATTTGATACATTAACCTGTTCGAATTTTGTCTGTACCATTAATAGAACTCTATCTGCAAGATACACACAACAATTTTGGTTATTGGTGTTAGTTAGGCTGAGGGAATAAAAGCAAACAGCTATGATGACACTAGAGATTTCAAAAATTTTTGAAAGAAAAGGGGCACGGAGGAGTAGAAGTATATTATAAGCAAAACAAAAATGTCAACATTTTAAAATTGGGAGCTTTAAATATAGAACACATTGCTTTGAATATTTTGGATAAAAATATTAAACTTAATTGTTATCCCCCGTTTATCGATTAGATTTATTTCTCCCAATGTTAGAAAGATTATTAGTTGAATTACAAGAAACTGGTTCAGACTATGTTATTATGGGGGATTTCAACCAAAATATCTTGGAGGGTCATTTGTCTATACTAAATTGTTTTCAACAATTTGGTTTTCAACAACTTGTTCAGCATTACACTACTGAAGGTGGGACACTTATAGATCATGTTTATATCAGTAAAGAAATTCCGTCACATAATGTTCACATTTCACACATACCTGTATATCATAACTACCATGAAGCTATTAAAATAACCATACGATAAGTTATATTGATACAAGATTGAATTTACCCTTTCACAAAACATTTCATTTAGCTTGGCTCTTTACTAAAAGTGGTCGAGTCATCACCGGGCTTGAGAGGGTTTGAAGTTAAAAAAAAGTCTTACAGCTATCAGGAAAAGTATCACGGGCCACGCTCAGTGCTGTTCACAGCTCTACTTGAGTTAATTGCTTTTGATTTAACCAAAATAAATCAAATATGTATGTAAATACGCAGCTGTAACCTGCTTTTGATGTATATTGTTGAGACATTTGTGTTAATATTCGCAATTTCGGATTGGTGATCAAGATAGAAATTACAATTTTATTTCTTGTTGCAAAATGGGAATGGTGCAAATTGATGCTTTCCGGATCTCCAATACACATTGAGGTTTAAACCTCTTTACAATCCCTTAAACAATGTGACATTGACAAATGTAGAAATGACATGAAAAACGTTTTGGTCCTAATCATAAAGTTCTTATTTTGAAAAAAATTAAAATTTCAACACTTGTGTATACGTTAGACACTATGTATATTATGCATTTGGTAAGTTACAAACCGTCGATGGATCAATCCGTTATTGGCACCAGTAGCCTAATGGCGAACTCACTGATGTTAAATATAGGTTAATGGTCGAAAGCTTGTCAATAAGTCTAATAATGATCATGGTACGAGGACCGAAGGCTCCCCTTTCTGGATTTAATATGGTACTTGATATGTTGAGGATCCTTGTAAAATTTACCTAATCTAGGAAGGCGGAGAATTTGTTATGGCCCCCAAATACACCACTGTAATGGCATATACGGCATCGTTTCGTGATTTACATTTTGCGTTTTATAAGCAATTAGCGACAAGGATAACCGAGCTATTAGAATTATTATTTTTCCCTTGGCTGTATCAAATTTGAAACATTAGTGTTGTTTATGAAGAGATTTTTGTGCTTCATTTCTGACAAAAAAAGAATAATATTCTAATTCTAAGAATAAATCTTAGATCAATTACTATGACAAGTTTTCACGTACTATTTGAAGCCAAGTCAATCGTGAACACGTTTTCTTGGCAAAGGAACAAGTGTCCAATATTTAGAGTCCATTATTAATGTCAATATTGGACTCATGGCTGTTTGCCAGTATCATTATGTTGGATAATGGTACGCCGAGATCAAAGAGTGACATCACATCTGTATTTTAACCTGTTATTCCTTCACTTACTTGTTTTATACAAACCTTAATTGCATCTTCTGTTATCTCATATCTTTCATTATTACATACTTTTACTTTGTTTACATTCTTTAACTTCCTCTAATTTGATCACGTGACTTCCGTCCGCCAGTTTTGTTTGGTTTGTTTGGACGCCATTGAAGTGCAATAAATGTATAGATGAGACATTAGAGTATTTATTGAATTAAACATGGTAGCAGAGCGAAATTAAAGAAAATGTCGGAGAATAACAGAAATAGCTATAAGAATCCACCTGATACTGTATATGACACTTGGAAAAATGAGCTAGAAATATGGCGTCGGGTCACCGACCTGGACGCTGACAATCAAGCTTTAGCCATCACATTGTCGCTGACTGGAAGAGCGAGGGAGAGGGCTGTCAAAATTCCGGCCGAATTTCTGGATTCAGACCGAGGTGTTGATGTTTTAATTTGCGAATTTGATGACGTCTTCAAGAAAGAAACGAAATATGCCACATATGAGGCTTATTCAGGCTTTGGAAATTTTAGAAAAACAAATAAAACAGTTTGTGGTTTACACTCCGTCAATGAGTTCGCCACCCCGTCAATGAGTCCGCCACTCCGTCAGTGAGTTCGCCACTCCGTCAATGAGTTCGCCACTACGTCAGTGAGTTCGCCACTCCGTCACTGGGATGATTGGCGAACTAACGCCATTGACGGATGACTGATTCATTGAAGGAGTGACGGATGAATAAGCCGTGTGTCAGCCCTTCATACGCCATTCTGTCAATGAAATCGCCACTACGCGAATAAGTGACAGATTGAAGCCATTGACAGTTGACGGATTCATTGAAGGAGTGACGTATGAATAAGCCGTGTATCAGCCCTTCATACGCCAATACGTCAATGAGTTCGCCACTACGTCACTGAGTTCGCCGTTACGTCAATGAGTTCGCCACTACGTCACTGGGATGATGACTGATTCAAAGCCCTATATATGCAGGGCCTTGGACGGATTTAGCCAATGGTGGAGTGACAGATTTTTGACGGGGTGTACGCCAGTACGTCAATGAGTTCGCCAATCTGCCACTGGGATGATTGAGACAATGACATATTCTTTTGTTTCATTTTACGATATGCCAGTATTCTTTATTTCTTCAAGGTAGCATTGACGTACGTCTTTCCAAGAATTCCGTTTTGCGATTATTAATTTATTAATTTTACTTTTTTTGTTCGATAGCTTCAACGATTGCCGTTACGACGCAGTGAACTGCTTTGACGGATGTGGAGCCAGTCATGCTAACTCTTCTAGACACCTGAAACTCAAACTGACTCAAGGTGTGTGTGGAGGGGGGGGGGGGGGGGGCTGGCGAGGNCTGAATTTAAAATGCGTCAACTACGTGGAGGCGTCTTGTCACAAGCCTCCAACCCCTCACTGGCGCCGTCACTTGTTTCACGCCCTACAATACGGGGGAAAAAATCCAGTGTGTTATGCTGGACATCTTGCCAAACCAACGATACTAGTCCACTTTTTTCGATTTCGATCTTTGAGATCCAAGCCTCTTGCAACAGCTTAATTATTCCGTACAATGACTAGAAGCCTTAATCATGTCAGATCCTCCGACATACATCAATGAAAGAAGAAAACCAGGTTAAAAATACAATGGTTTTATCTTGTCTGCATATCATAGCGAGTAACACTAGATAATCACTTAATAATTCTATAATACGAATAATTGTTTAATAAAATTTGTAAAAGAATAGATAAATATTTCAAATAAAGTTATATAAAGAGCATATACATTATAACTACTGTGACACATCATCTAATTAAATACTGCAAAGGTCCATAATTACAAAGAGATCGAGCACAAGCAGTGGCGCAGGCCTTTCTTTCACTATTCAAAACGATAAAAAAATTTGAAAGTGGGTAAGGGGGGGGGGGGGCAAAGCTGGGCCAGTCTATTTTCTGAAGCCCCGTTTCGCATTTAAAATTGTTCAGTTTGTTTGAAAATTGAACGATATAGATGTATGGGGTTTTCTAGTAGACAAATGTTCAAAATCATCAAATCATTACATGCTGATCAGTACAATACATTATGTTTGCTTTAATATGGTATACTTTTCTATAATATAATTACCGTTTGAGAAAATAGTTCTTTTGGTGCAAACACCTTTGCGTGGATTGAAATTGGTAGTGAGTACAGCCATTCAGAAATAAATGGAAATGTTAAGGGTGGAAAATTGAGGTAAGCTAGATTTTCTAGCTGTTTGAAGTCGGAAACTGTTATTGACTTTGATAAAACAGCAATATGTGGTATAACTACAGAACTTGGGGCCCAGTCTTGCACGATGGATGTATTTGCAATTTTTATCAGTCCAGATCATTTTGACAATAAATATTGATCAAATATGTTATTAATTTTAGTTTCGTTTTGGAAAATAAGAGTAAGGTTGATGGTATGGAATTGTTATTTTTAAAAAAGCACTTGCCTAGGCATGATGAAGAAGAAACAAAAACAAGGGGTTTGAATTGATAAGTGTAAAAATAAATTAGAAATCATTATTAGGGGAACAAAATAATCTTGGTTTTTGGCTCTGGTTTTGTATGAAAACTAATTCAAAAATGATTAAAGAGTCTTAGTGTACCTGCTGAAAACTGAAATCTTGTGACCATTATTATGGGAATAAAAGAACTTAGAAGTTAGGTGTAAACTTAATTTGAAATATGCATAAAGATAAAAAAAAATATAATTCAAAGAAAAACTAAAACTAAAAGGGTTTGTAAGATAATATTAAAATGATTACAGTCTTCCATTAAATTTATTTAATTATCTTTTCGAACAACATTATTTGTGTGGACTCGTAGAATGTAATTCACCAATGGTAAAACAGTTTTATCATCAGTTTGGTAAGTAATTCGATGGGTTTTTGAAGCTGATTGTATTACTAACGTATTTCTGCCTTTACCTGAAATATTGTAAATGTAATTTTGTCTATAAGGATCAATATTTGATATTGTAGTTTTCATGAAGCACAATCCTCTAACCGTTTATCCTAGATTGTCAGAACACTCTGAAAGACCAAGATAGCTTGTCAGGCAAAGGAATATACGCACATTGGCAGCTGGAAGAAACAGGCGGACATACAGATATCATGCATTTGCAGCTCAAAAACATTGGATTTATTAATATCTCACTAATTTACTTTCAGTTACTTTAACTAATGTTTTTCACAAAATTAATCAGTAGCAATATCGCAAAATACATCAAATTATAAAGTAAAGGGCAACTCCAAAATCTTATCAACAGGTACATGCATTCCAGGTGTCATCAAGCAGCTGCCACCTATATCGTGGTTACAAGCCAAATTTGACGAGGAAAATAACTCAAACATCGTTCATCAGATTTTTACCGACATCGAACTTGACTGGGAGCTCACCGATAAATACTAGCATACAAAGTTGCATCAAGATCGGATAAAAACTGTAGCATCTATCATGTCTACAAGCCAAATGTGACTCATGTTTTACAAATTCGAACTCGACAGACACCTAATCAATAAATACATGCATACCAAGTTTTACAAAGATCGGATAAATACTGCAGCCTTCATTATGTCTACCAGATATGAGAACAGACGGACGGATCTGCCGAGGGAGGAACGGACAGTGGCGATTGTAATAATTATACTCCAAATTTTTATGTGAGCTTATAAAAACTACCGGTGCACTCTAGCTTTCATAATAATTTTTCTTATCAGAAAATCAAACAAATGCTTTTGACTCTTTACGATAGGTTTTTAAATCTCTATAAAATCTTGTTAGCTATTGGCTGAGAACTAGACCATTGACCTGTCACAATATTGATATTGAGAGATATAACAGAGAAACTAGCAACGTGGAAAATGATTGTACATCTATGTTTGTAAGTTTAGGAGTTATACGCTTCGTACCTTGTCTGATATGGACGTTTTTGACATCTTTAAACCTGATCGATATTCTTCCAATCTGTATTGTCCCATCGTTTCTATCAACAGAAACATCAACACCACTAAAGCCAATTAAACTTTTCTTCATAAACAAACCTATACAAAACAATAATAAGTCTGAAAACATGTATGACAAATGTTAATGATTTGTTGAAAACAGGGGGAAATGATTGAGATTGGTATCTAATATGATCACGGTCTTATTTAACTCTATTTTTATATACAGTTGTGCGCTAATAATACTACCTACGTAAAATATATCACAATGGTATGACAATTTTCGAGCACAAAAATAGCAAGTTGGAACTTATTGGAAGGGAGGTAACTCCATTGTATAGCTTCAATTTACGTTGTCATCGATGCTTTTATTTTGTATTATGAAGTATTTCGGTTCCGAAACCTTTTAACTTTCTATTACAAGATATTTTGACCAGATTGACATACTCAAAAGGACACTTATAAATCCTTTATAAATCATTCCATATTTCGAAAAGTGAAACGAAAATGCCCAGGTAATGGAAGTTAGAATACAGTTGGCGTTTGCTTGAAGTCTCAATATGAAATATATTAGAAATCAAACATTGGAGATATGTTTCTCAAATATAACGAACGATACGTTACCTGTGATTTTGGGTTTAAACGTGTCTTGAAGTTGTTGTATAGTTGTGTTAGGATTTGAGGATACTGTATGTAACATCGTCATAAAATCTGAAACAAACTCGTCAGCATCATCTTTATCATAGAGGTCGCCTCCCAACATCAATCTAAATGTTGTTGTATTGGCCATCCTATCTATCAATATTTTCATAACTGCCTCAACTCTTGTATACGGATTTTCACCCCAAATTTTTAAATCCAAATTCGCATCTTGGGCCAACCGATTCAATTCACTTACAAAAGTAACATCGTTGAGAATAATTTCATGTCTGTGTAGATCTTTATTTTGTCCTTCTGGGATAAGTTTCACTATTTCTGTGTATGGAAACATGCCGTGTTCGATTGTTTTACTTATGTCCTCCGTGTTTGTTTTGAGAAATTGCTTGAAGGTTGTAGTTGATTCTGGTATGTCGACAAATATCGGTATGTGGTTCGATATGCATTCTATTCTATCCAATAGCTGAACAGAGTACTGTCGTAGATCTATTGTGGAAATGACGACAACTCTTTGAGATCTAGATCGTATACTCAGTAGAAGCTGGTAAATTGTCAAATATAGTCTAAATGTACTTGTACCGATGGATTTGGCGAGCGAGTCACACAATTGCTGGGTATCTAGAGGCAAAAGTTTTTCACAAACGTCAGCATGGTTTTTCTTCGGACAATAGTCCCTGTTTACATCTAGTGTGACTCTTGGAACACCTTTCTTAATCTGTTGTGACCAAAATTCGTCAAGAGCTTTTGTCTGCTGGTCGAAATATCTAATTTGGTCTAATATCTTACACACTGATGTCTGATGCTCAATGGGCTTTGGAAGACTTTCTAGAGATAAATGCTGCCGAACATGTCCAATACAATTCACGAAATCCATCAAAAACAAATTAACACCCATTAAGTCAAACCCCACGTGACTAAGTACTATGGCTAATCTCGTACTGTTCTTATCCAGGACGAATGTAAATCTGACTGTTCCTTTGGAACTGGTATCAAATTTATCAAATTGTCTTCTACTAAAGATCTTTTCAATATTAGGTTCGTCCGCTTTAACTTCACAAATGTCTAAAGCACTCTCTACATCTAAGAAAGATTTTTTTACATCTGCCCTTTCTTTTGGTGAGTCTCCGTGCCAATCATATACCGCAGTACAGATAGGATTACGTATAACCACTGTTTTGATTATGTTAATGATCATGTTCTTCTCCAAACGAAGATTGCCAAAATATAAATCTATCACATGATAGTTGGATTTATATGTCGGTAAGTTATCTAATAGTAGATATCTTAATTCTGGAAATGAAATTCTGCTTTCATCAAAAACATCATCCTGGTTTTCAACAATAACCACATCTATATCGCTGCCAAAATTTGCGTTTCCAATAAATCTAGATAACGTTAAGACATTTGTTTCAGGGTCAAATAGTAAATTCAGTGGTATTTTGACTGCGATATCTTTCTTCACCTGGTTTACCAATGTCATAGCTAACATCGAGTCCATACCAGCATCTATCAGGCTTGTTGTAGAAGTAATCATAAGGTCTGTCAGAGGCAGAATTTTTCTAACTAGTTTTAAGACATAAGCTTCTATGATTCTTGGTCTTTCTACTCCATCAGCATCTTTCAGAGTGTCTATTGAAAACGGTGTCGATGATGTTGAATTAGTATTATGTTCAGTAGCTGTGTTTGGTAGAATATGGTATAATCTATGTTTAGTGAATTGGTCGGAATTCAGGTCAATAACATCTCTCAGTTTTTCCATATCAAACTTAGTAATCATAATTTGTTTTTTATTAGATAAAATAGCAGTTTCAAGACAAACACCAATTTCACCTTTTCCAATCAAATGGTAACCAGTACTGGATATATTCATTCTTGTTCTATCATTTCCCTTTCCCTTTTCTAACATTCCCATATCCAATGGTCCCCAGTTCAACGTTTGTATAGGTAGGGATAATTTTTTTCTTACAGATATTAAACTGTCCTGAAAAGCATTCCCAACACCATAATTACTTTGTCCAGGTGTGCCAAGGACAGCTGTGATGGATGAATGTAGTATAAAAAAATCAAGATTCATATACATGGTAGCCTGGTGTAGATTCCATGCTCCGGAAATCTTCGGATTGAAACATTCAGTCATCTGTTTTTCAGTCATTTTAAATAGAGATGAGTCTCTGGTTACACCAGCACCATGAAGTACACCTTTTATGCGAACATCGGAATAGGTCTTGTTGAATGTACGTATAGCTCCAGTAACAGAACTAAGATTTACTACATCTACTGAATAACATTCTATGGTACAAGATGTTGATCTGGACAATTCTTCAATTGATGCAGCGTCCCCTTCATTTGGGGTTCTTCTATTAAAAATTAAGACAAAACCAGCTTGATGTGTGGCCAACCACTGAACACATTGCCAACCTAAACCAGTTAAACCACCAACAACAATATAAGCACTACTTTTACTTAATAATCTTCTCGGTGTCAAACGGATAGGAACTTCTAATCCTCTTTTGTCTTGAATATCAAGATGGGTCATGGTGAATAATTTTTGTATTGGGTCTTGTAAATTTGGGGAAACAGTTCTCTGGTTTATAGTATTTTTAACGTTTTTATTAAGCCATTTGGAGATACCATGACGAATTGCAGCACTGATATTACTTTTGGAAAAGATATCGTTTTCGTTCACTCTATGTATCCTAATCCTGGAAAGTCGAGTTCTTAAGATTGCTGCAATGGAATCTGGTAAGAGACTAGAAAAGGCATAAATCTTCATGATGAAATATTTTCTCATGATGATATCTACATGTGATTTGTCTAGCTGCATAAAACAAATCATTTCTTTCTTTTTCTGCTGTTGTGTTTCTGCTGACAATTCTTCTGGAGTTAGTAGTTTATATTCCACTTTTCTATATCGTAGTAAGGAAAGAAATAATTCCTCGTCAACACAACTTCTTTCTCGTAAAACTATTATCTTTTTAACTTTTACACTAGAAGCCAATGTCCAAAGACTGACAAGTGTTGAAAGTAAACCTGGCTTGTAGAATGGTATAGATGATAGAGGCATACAACAAGATATTGGAACCACTACCTTATTAGATGCTGGTACTGGAAAACACGATACTAGCAAGATATTTGGTTTGATAGGTAGATATCCAATAGTTTCTATACAGTATACAGGCCAACCATCATCATTAGCTTCATGTTCATCAGCAATAAAAACTGGTAGAAACAATGAAGAATCCTGAAATACCAACTTGGTGACATTTAATAAAACTGAGCCTGGTTGTTCATGTAGTGATGTATTTCTTGTGTACACTTTAAAAACATCTTTTACTTCTGTTTCTGATGTAGAGAACAGATCAAAATCTGCATCACCAGTGTCAGTAATTGATAATATTTTGCTCTCCAATTCTTCCATGTAGCGTACCTGATAACCAAACACACCTACAGTGGTGAAGATCAACTCGCCATTATCTAGCCAGTCGGAAGCCAGTTTGTCAAAGACTATTAACAACTGTTCACTATTTGTTGTTCCTTCCAATTCACGGAGATCTACCAAATGAGTAGCTAATGTTCCCAATTCTCTTTGAATAGATCGTGCTCCTCCCCATAAAGATGAATGTATAATATTTTCTGGTATCATGTTTGTAGACTTGCTTTTCATTTCATCCATAGTCCATGTATTATAGAAAGCTATTAAAAGTCGAATTATATCATGTTTTTCATTAACTTCATTAATACATTCCACTACAACTTTTAACCATAATAAATAATCAGTTACAGCTCTCTGTATTTCAATTCCACCATAATTCTCATCAAAATCACTATTAATATGTATAGCAACATATCTATATTCATTAAGTGTTTCTCTTAACTTCTCTATATCTTTATAATTGTCAGTCAATGGAACAACAACATTAAGCTCTTCATCTCGACTTGGTCGTGGTTTAACAGATACAGACACAAACTTCTCTGATAGGAGTTCAGCATGGTGTGGTAAGAGTGATATCAAAGACCAATATGGCTCAAAAAACATTTGCTGACTTTGGTAACTTTCTTCTTTTCCTATAACTTTGATAGTGAATGTTTCAATGCTGGCTATTGGTTCACCCGATGCCGAAAAAAGCAATAACGTAAACTGTTTACTTGAGGTAGTGGACGAAAGCATCGACTGAAGGTGAATATACATCTTCTTTTGCGCCCCACCATAAACTCTCAACTTGCTGATTTGAATGGGTAAGATATTCACTCCTAAATCAGAAAGTCCGAGTGCACCGGGTGCCTGAAGTAAACCATCGATAACTGCAGGATGTAGAACCATTCCTTTCATTTCGTCCCATAAACTGTCGTTAACATTCAATTCAACCAAGGCTTCTTTGTCATTTCCTACTGAGCCCTGAAGTATCGACATAGCTTTACCATAAGAGAAACCAAACTTTCCAAGATATGCATATATTTCTTCCCCTGTCTTCTGAATGTTACATTGTTGTTCAATACTTTTTACATCAATTACTGGTACGTGCTTATTAAAACAACTATTAATGCTGCCTTCACAGTACACGTGTGATCCTTTGTAAACTGTAAAGTCGGTCCGGTCACCATGTTCTTCTATTGTAGTATCTAGCTGCTTTGATTCGCGATTGTAAATGAGAAGTGGGCTTTTAAAATCAACTGTTACTTCTCGAAATGAAATACTTGGTGACTTTAAGGCTGCTAGAGCAAGACCCACTTCAGCATACAGTGCGCCCGGAATCACTACTAATCCGTTTACTTTATGTTCATAGATAGACGCAAGCTTACTCGGATCAATCAAAATCTTAATGTCCGTCGTGTCCGAAACAAGCTGTTTCACAAACGGATGGTATTTGGACGCTTGATCAACACCCAAAAGTTTGTCTTTGCCTGATGTAGGTAATAACAAATTGTCTACTCTATTAAATTGATATTTTGGATACTCGGAGACATTGGCTTTAAAATCGTCAAAATTTGTCCATTTCAAATCCAATCCATGGTTATAGAAATTACAAACAGCTACTGTGACACAATCCACCTCGTCATTTTTCTTCATAATAGGTATGGAATCAAACAGTACTTGGTCAGGGAATATGCTTGGTAGATGAGCTCTCAAAATTGGTCTGGGTCCTAATTCAACAAAAACATTATATTTAGTAGGATCATGGGCTTCAAGAACAGCTTGGTAGAGTTTAACTGGTTTTCTGATGTTATCTGCCCAATAGTTTAGTGTAATGAAATCGCCTTTATCTGCCTTGACACCACTAACAGTCGAAAATATATCTATCTTTGGTTCTTCTCCATTGATTTCTGCACAACTCTTCATCTCGTCTGCACTGTTAGACATATGACGGGAATGAAAAGCACTAGTAACATTCAGATCTAAAAACATACAACCTGTATCAAACTCTTTAATATCTTCTTTTAATTTGTCCACTACATCTTCATCACAACTTATAGCACAGCTCATTGGACTACTGTAAACAGATACATTAGCTTGTGATTCATATCTCTCTAAAACCTCTTCTACTTTATCTATTTCAATATTTGTAGCAACAAACATTTTACCACCAGTACCTTGAACCTGTACTCTTGTTCTGTGATAAATAATATACACAGCTTGTTCCAGAGTGACGGTACCAGAAGCAAAGGCAGCAGCTACTTCACCAATGGATTGTCCAATGATAGCATCAGGATTAACTCCAAAACTTTCCACTAAAAAAAACAACGCTACCTCACATGCAAATGTCATAATTGGTGCGATGTTAGCGTCCTCTAAATCAAATCCATTTTGAAGATTTTCAAATAAGTTCCAGTTAGCATACCGTTCAAGATGTTTGGAAATGTCTTCAATGGTAGAACGAAATACTTTAAATCTTTTTAACATTTCCTGACACATTCCTTGCCAATTTGTTCCTAAACCAGCAAAAACAAAGATATACTTCTTCCCTTTAGCTGGCTGGTATTTCACCATCAGATGTTTGTCGACATCAGTACCTTCTAGAATTTTAAGAACTTCGATGGTATTTTGACCAGCTACAGCCAGACGGCATGGATAATGATCCCTTCTATATATGGATGTATAAGATAAATCAGCAAGTTGCAGGTCTTTAGCGTTTTCACACAAAGCCCTTTTCATATTAAGTAAAGATTCTATGTCCACTGCAGAGATACATACGACTTTTTTGTTCATATGATCAGTTTGAGTCAGTAAATTTTTCGTTTTTGGTGTCGTAACAATAGCATGACAATTACTTCCGCCAAAGCTAAAACTATTTACTGATGATCGTAAAACATCTCTGGTGGTATCTGGCCACGGACTGGGCTTCATTGGCACTTTAAATTTAAACTCGTCAAGTGGAACGTCTTGACTAGGTCTTTCAAAATGGAGAGAAGGAACGATCTGTTGATGTTTCTGCATTAATAAAACTTTAATCAGACCTGCTACCCCAGCGGCCGATTCAAGATGACCAATGTTTGTTTTTACCGATCCTATTATTTTTGGTGTCGAATTTTTGTCAGTTTGGAAAAATGTCCCAAGAGCTTTTACTTCAACAGGATCCCCTGCTTTAGTTCCCGTTCCTGGAAAAAATGGAAGCATTTGATAAGATAGCTTGCCAGGCAAGGTAACATACGCCCATTGGCAGCTGTCAGAAATGATAAAACAGTCTATATAGTGACTAAAGTATGAATTTTCTCATATTAAAGAAATTTTAATTGTTTGAATTCATTGATATATATTTACTGCCAGTTATTTATGCTGAGAAATACCACCAAATTTTTAAAAATCAATATCAATAATCCAAACACATCAAATTATCGCATCAATATACATGATCACTCCATGTTTCATTAAAATCAATTGAAAACTGTAGTCAAACCAATTTTGACCCGTTTTTCCTTAGTCAAGGGCAATAACTCAAAGACCGTTCATTGAAATATCAAATTCGAACTTGTCCAAGATCTCTTCAATATAAATGATCACACCAAATTTCATTAAAATCAGTTGAAACTCTATTGTGTTCACAAACAAATTTGGATGCGTGTTCCTGAATCAAGGGCAATAACTCCAAACAGTTCATCGAAAGATCGTCAAAATAAAAGTTAACCAAAATCTCATCAATATGAATGATCACACCAAAATTCATTAAAATCATTTGAAAACTGTCGTCTCTATTGAGTTCACAAACAAATTTTGATGCGTTTTTCCTAAATCAAGAGCAATAACTCCAAACAGTTCATCGAAAGATCATCAAATTGGAAGTTAACCAAAATCTCATCAATATGAATGATCACACCAAAATTTATTAAAATCATTTGAAAACTGTCGTCTCTATTGAGTTCACAAACAAATTTTGATGCGTTTTTCCTAAATCAAGGGCAATAACTCAAAAACCATTCATTGAAAGATCGTCAAATTCGAACTTGACCAAGATCCTATCAATATAAATGATCACACCAAATTTCATTCAAATCAGCTGAAAACTGTAGTCTCTATTGTGTTCACAAACAAATTTTGACGCGTTTTTCCTAAGTCAAGGGCAATAATTAAAAAACTGTTCGTCGAAAGATTGTCAAATTCGAACTTGACTAAGATCTCATCAATATAAATAATCACACCAAATTTCATTAAAATCAGTCGAAAACTGTAGTCTCTATTGTGTTCACAAGCAAATTTTGACGCGTTTTTCCTAAGTCAAGGGCAATAACTAAAAAACCGTTCGTCGAAAGATCGTCAAATTCGAACTTGACCAAGCTCTCATCAATATAAGTGATCACAACAAATTTCATTAAAATCAGTTGAAAACTGTAGTCTCTATTGTGTTCACAAGAAATGTTGACGGACCAACGGAAAGCCGGACCAACGGATCGACGGCAATATACGTCCTCATTACCATGTGGGCGTATAAAAATAGTGACAATGGTGGTTATCGACAAGGTACAGGATTATTAATGATATTGTTAAAGTTGTATTGAAAGTTAATTTATATTAGATACACTACTAAGAAGAAAACTAAGAGAAACTATGTATGTATACATTTCAACACATTGGGATTTACATACCATGAGCTTCAATATAATCAATACTCTGAGGATCAACGTCAAATCTTTTAAATACAATATTTAATAATTCTATTTGCTGTTGCATAGATGGTGTAGTTATTGGTGAGACTGTATGACCATCATGATTAGAAGCTGTGGATATTGTCGCCCAGATCGGATTGTTATCTTCTAGAGCCTTAAATTGAGGATTTTGAAATTTTCTAGTTGTATTTGAAAGGATTTACTTTACAATATACATTATATTTCAAAATTATATATGCTCAATATCACTTTCACCAGGTTTCCAGAAAATCCTTCAAAAAATATAGAGTGATTTGGTATTTTAGTGTGATAATAAAAAATTCTATAAAGTTCCTTCAAAAGGTGTGACTTCTAGAATGATTATAGAAGCAGTTGAAACATGTCTTTCAAGGATAAAGATTTCAAACACTATTTTACTATTAAAAATAAATATCTCACATATACATCTAGACTTACACTTAACTGACCTTTTCATATGATTTTAAAATGACAATTCCACACCCTTCTCCTCGAGCATAACCATCAGCATTCTCAGAGAAAGCTTGACATTGTCCTGTTGGTGATACCATACCAGCTTTAGTCAGCTGGATGAATGTGTCTGGTTTAAGAAGACAGTTAACTCCACCAGCAATACACATTTCACATTCACCTGACACGAAAAAACAACACCTGTCCATTGTAGGTAATCAAAAATAGCAATATAGTAGAATAATTAAATAAGACTTGCCAATTAACATATGGGGATTGCATACTGTCGTGAATCCAGAATAAGAAAAGTCTCCTTTTTGTTGAAGCTTAACTTTTTAAACTGTAGTGTTTAATGTTGTTGTTTTTGTTCAAAAAGGATATATGTCGGAGTTGAAAGAATTTATCTTCAATAGTCATATGGACAAGCGGAACATGGGACGAAAATACACTTTGCAAAGTGTTTAAGGAAGGTAACTAATATAATATACAGAGAGATTACCAACCAACCTGAGTTGTGTTTTACAATAAAAAAAATTGTATGAGATGTTGAACAATATATACCGGGTGGCTAAAAAAAACCTTTTCATTTCAGGATTATTCTATTAAAGGTATCATCTTACCCGATAAAATGGCTTGGTGGGCAGTATGTATGGCTATCAGAGATGAAGAACAAGCTGTATCAATAGTCATTGATGGGCCATGTAGATCAAATACGTAATTAACTCTTGAAGATATGATACTGTCATTTGTTCCAGTTACCGTGTAATTGTCAAAGTCCAGCACACTTTGAGCGAAACTAGAAGAATAATCGCCATTCATTACTCCTAAAATATACAAAGGAATAATAGAACAACAAAGTGAATCCAGGGTAGCAACTTGGGATCAAGTGAGGTCACAGAATCAAATTAAAGTTATTAGACCAAGTGTTATGAGTATGTGATGTAATTCCATGAATATTAAGTGTCATGAATATTAAGTATGTCATGAATATTTAGTAGCCTGTACGTGCATGCTTGACGTGTGGGACTGTAATATGTTGTGGCGTCACTTCATGTGTGGCCACCATGATGAGTAGACCTGATCCACAGTATTGATAGGAAAATAATAAGTGTTGTATCTAATGTAATTTAGTGTACAGGTTTTTATGTTTCAGCACAGCTTTAATGGTTTACAAAAATTACATACTGAACACATAGTCACAAATATATAATATATATCAACTCAAATCTGTTCACCCTGTTCTATCTTCTCTATACTTTATCCATTGATGAGCTTCTGTTCAACTCACCAATGTGATCTCATCACTCTGAACATTCTATCTTTTTGTCATTGGGCCTTTAGGTTTCATGTAGAAAGGACTGTTTCAGTTCTCCCCTGTATCAGGTTTTGGCGGGAAATTTGTATTTTCAGTGTTAATGATATTCATATTTCATGGATTGTGTTGTTTGTGTGAGGATTACTTAAATCAGTTCTGTATTTTAAAGGTTTACTAAGGTATTTCACCTTATTATTTGCCAGTTTGAAAGTTAGTTCAAACCCCAAACCTCTGTTGTAGTTTTGTTCTAATAAAGTTTTGAAACGTCACCAACTGTGTGGTCATTGATTTGCCTTGACCCCCACCAGATAACACCAACACCAAGGACTAACCTATTGGGACAATATTGGAAACAACCCGTGTTATCCTGAGCAAGTTGATAGATTGATGCAAGTTTTTTTTTCAGAATTCACTGTGAATTGGCATCTCGAACGATTGTAACAATATCTATGTTCCTTTCGAGGTCTAGGGCCCTTGTCAACAGTAACCTGTCCAATGAAAGTGTGATGTGTTGAACCATGATAAAGTGATAAGGAGAACAAAAACTTTTTAATTGTTTTTTGCAAATCGTCATCGATCTGTCATGTCTTGTTTTCGTTATGATTATATAAGTTAAAAAATAGAAAATAGAAAGCATTTTTGTCTAATCGTATATGTAAACTCGTGATAGATTTCAAAGTGAATATTTTTGCATTACCAGAAATGACATATTGCAAAATATTCAAAAAATTGGTTTAGAGGCTGTACCCAGGGTTGTTTTTATGCTCTTTGTAACAAGACCTATTCAATTCAAATATATTAAAGGATTTTTAGAGAAAAACATTAACATTAAAAGGATTGAAATTTTCGATTGAAACAGGAGTTTGACAGACAGCGAATACATATAAAATTGCATCATCAAACTGTTTGAATCACTTCCGTTTTCTCAAGAGTCCAGGATCCTGTGACAGTAGTATCCTAAGAAAAGAGAAGTCCTGTAGTGAAGCACCAACTGGAACCAACTACAGCTTCTGATACTGTAACACAGATGGTCCGAGGAGGTCTTCAAGGACAAAAGCACAACCGCCATGGCATCAAGATTGCAGATGGCACAACAACCTCAAACAGCTTATGTTTTGAGGAGAGCAGAGATTATGAGAGCCATGTTTCCGGAAGGTTATCTGAGTTTACCACCACAGAGTTTGGAGGTTTTATTGGATTTCATACCAACCATGTGTAAGACTTTGTTTCTCGATGTTTTTCAGCAGGGGAGTATTAATATAGTGTACAGGTTTTTATGTTTCAGCACAGCTTTAATGGGTTACAAAAATTTCACACTGAACACATAATCACAAATCGTCACCTCAGATCTATAATGTTCTATCTCCACTTATTGGTACCGTTGAAATGAGCTTGGAAAGTTCTATCTCCTGCTGATAATATTGTAATTATGTGTAAGGCTGTTCATACAGAAATACAGGCTATATTAGTATGGTTTATATCCATTATTGGTATTAAACTTATTTCCATAGTGTTCTATGTCCAAAAACCAATAAGTAAGTACCATTCTTATCACGTGACGTCAAATCAACTAACAGTTCTCTCTCTTTTCCTTGCCTTGACAAAATTCCACATGGTGTGATTTTAAAAAGATTTTGGCTAAATTTCAATGGATGTAAAGTATGTTTGATGATTTTATAACTTCAAAAACCACTATAAGCTAGTAAATAAAATTTATTTTTAAAGCATTATATTAATTGGATGACTATAACTACAAGGCAAAATCTTTTTGGATATAGAACAATATAGCTCTAACCAGATATTGACTTTTACAATACATGTTATACTCTATATCAGAAAAATAGATGTTTAATAGTAGGTTTTCTTTCAATTTTCAGATTGAATCAACTAGAAAATCTCCCGGACTTGCCCCTAATACACATATTTTCATATTTAAGACTTCCTGAAGTAATTGTAGTTGTAAACAGAGTTTGCAGAAGGTTTAATCATATAATTTCGACAACTTCAATTCTTTGGCAAGAATTTATATTTGACTTTACACTTGAACTCTTAGAAGAGGATTTAGAATATATTTTTTCTAAAGCTTATAAATTCAAAATTTTTGATTGTGGCCGGGCTAAATACTTATGTGAATTGGCCGACGTAGATTATTATTTTACCAAAGGACTTTGTCAATCCGCAGAGCTAACGTGGTTAAACCTTTCAGGATCCGTTTTATCAACAACTTCTTTCTTTAAATATCTGCCTAATCTTGAATTTTTGGATCTGTCTGAAACACCTAATTTACACAATTCAGATTTTCATGTTTTAAAATGTTCGAAACTTGTTCAACTGTACATATCGTTTTGTGATGTTAAAATAGATACAATAATTGAAAATTGCAAACATCTAAAATCTATTAAGACACTCGGTATTTCTGGAATTCCAATTAGCCTGGAACAATGTGTTCAACTCTTAAATCATACTTATGATACACTTACATGCTGCATATTAAATATCCCTAGATATATAACTGTAAGAGAATTTTTTGTGTTAATCGAACTAAATTACAAGAACTATCGATTTTTTGTCCTCCGATTTGACAAGTATGGAGAAAAATTTGGAGTTAAGAATGCCCTCGAAGTTTTGGGTTTCCTTGACATTGACAATGATTGTGGTGA